CCCCCGCGGGGTGGGGTCCCGAAGCGGGAGACTGGTCTGGTCTTCAGTCATAACGCAGGTGTTAGTTGAGGACCTACTATGTTTCGGCCTATTTTAAGGATACAGCACCAAACAGGACAGAGTCCCATGCACACTGTGGTTGGGAAAACAGATTTGATTTTATCCCTTAGGTAACGTTTACAGAGCACTCATTAAAATCCTAATCCCTGGACCAGCAGCATCAGCTTGTTTACAGGGCTTGTTTACAATGCAATACTCAGGGCTTGTTTACAATGCAAAGTCTTGCCCTCCAGAAACTCTGGAGTGGGAGCCACCAACCTGTTTTAACAAGCCCTCCAGGAGACCCAGATGCAAGACTAGATCTGAGAACCTGTATTGCGTGCTTGAAGTCAGCCCACTCCATCTTAGAACTGTTCTAGGAGATGGGATAATCATCTGCCTCCTGTAGTTGAGGACACTGAGGCACAGAGAATCCCCCCAGATCTCACAGCCAGTAGGGGGCAGAACTGGCCTTTCCACCTGGCTCCAGAATCCTCTCTCTCAACCCCTATGCTATGGTGTCTCTCCAACAATAATGTAAAAATAGTTCCAGTAATAACATGAAAAGAACAGCTGACCTTACTGAATACACGTTCGGTGCTAAGCCCTCAATTCTCCCAACAGCCCCATCAGGCAAGTACATTTTATGGATGAGGGAAACCAAGGCATAGGTGGTTAAGGAACTTGATCAGTATCACCCACCTAGAAAATGACTTAGCTGGCATCTGAATATTTGTTCGCTTAACAGGTTCTCATCAACTTCACGTTTCTATGTCCACGTGTATCCTCCATGATCCTCATGGACTCTTGGCCCCACCTCAATTTATCATTTTGGTGTCAGTGTCTCTCTCTTTCTGCCTCCAGGTTCAAATGTTCTTGGAGGGAATGTTTGTCTTGCTCTTAACTTACAGACCAATGGCCACCCTCACCTCTGTCTGTCAGGGTCATTTATCCAGCCCTGACCCAACCAGCTGGTCATGGGTACACAATGTGGCCACTATATCCAGCAGGACTCTTAATAGCGATGTCAGAATCCTAACTCAAACTGAGGGAAGAAAGAATAAATGATTTGGAGCACATATAACTGCAAAGACTGAGGGTGTTTCTATCTTCAGTCTTAGCTAGATTAAGAATTTTCAACTGCAGATTTGAAAAGTCCATTTTTCTCCCAGTCCATCTTCTTCTTCCCTTCCATTCTCTCTCTGTTAGCTTTATTCTCAAGTAGATTTTCCTCTTGTGGTAGCCACAAGGCTTTGGCAACTTCAAGCTGACAATTCTACCAGCTTCAGTGCCTTTGCAAAAATGTAACATCCTTTTCCCAGTGACCCCAGCTAAAGTCCCAGGCTCGCCACCCAAGGCTTCGCCTGTCCAATTATTGTGAACCAGAGGAGGGAAGAATAATCTGATTAGCCAGCCCCGGGGTTCTGTACACAACCCTGGAACCTGGATGTGGAATCACCTCAGTCCACATGTTGAAAGTAAGGATGGATAGTTGCCAAAAAGCAAGCGGAGGTTATTATTGTCAGAAGGGCAGAGAGGCCAAGAAAAGACCTCCACCACTAGAATCCACTGACAGGTTCCTTATGGACCCAAACAAGCAGCATAGGAGGTGGGATCACTTGGTGGTTCAAGTAATGGTCAACCCTTTCAACAGGGGCTGGGATTGCCGGGGAAAGACCCCCTAAAAGACAAAGAGCAGGGAAGCCACATTAGTCATATCTAGGATACACTTAAGTAGCTAGCACACTGCATAGTGCGCAGACACTGTTCAATCACTGCCGGTTGTTACTGCTGTTAGGATTAATCTAAGGGGAGGTCTTCCGGGAACGATGCAATCTGAGGGTGCAGGGGAAGCGGAGGGCAGGCCCCTGGCTTGCCTGAGTCTGACAAGCCACCTCTCCACAGCCATGCGGTGCCCCCCGCACAGCCACTACAGCCTGTGTGTGAACCCCTGTCCCGCGGCCTGTGCGGGTGTTCAGGAGGTGGTACAGCTCCCCACTCCCTGCGCTGAGGGCTGCGAGTGCGATGATGGATTCTTCCCCGCCAAGGGTGACTGCGTCCCTGTGGACCACTGTTCTTGCTTCCACAATGGCCTGTACTTCCCTGTGAGCATCCTCTTGGGCCCTTGTTAGAGGTTTATTTGGATCCTCTCATCTCAGAACCTTTGGCTACACCTTCTCTTCAATACCACCTCACGTTTCACCGCCTCTCCCTTCCTCCACAGCCTGGCCAGACTATCCTCATCAAGAATTGCTCCTCCTCCTGTACCTGCCACCTAGGGGAAGGTGTGGCCTGTGTCCCCTTCAGCTGCCCTACGGAGGAGGTCTGTGGCATCACAGATGGAGTCCTAGGCTGTCGATTGCAAGGTGCCCAGCGCTATAGTCTCAGGGGTCAGAGATTGGGGCATGACTCCTGCATCCTGGGAAGGAGGGGACTGGTGACCCAGACTTCTGGGACTCATAGGTCCTTGATCTTCTCTCTCCCCCACAGCCACCTTGGCCTCTGCCCCTAGCTCTGTGGCCCCACCGATGGTTTCCCCACCATTGCTCCCCAGTCCCAGTCCCCAGTGCCCAGAAAACTCCCGCTTTGTTCCCTGTGGGTCTGCATGTCCAGCCACGTGTGCCAACCCCTCAGCCCCAGAGCACTGTAGCCACCCCTGTGCTCCTACCTGCCAGTGTCTGCCTGGCTACCTGCTGCAGGACGGCCAGTGCATGCCCCCTGCACACTGCTCCTGCTTCCTGCACCAAGGCCGTACTTTCTGGACAGACAACTGTACTTGGCACTGCCACTGCCCAACCCTTGGGGCCCTGGTGAGCAAACTTCCCCAGTGTTGGCCTGACAAGTGCCATGGTCACTGCAAGGCCTTCACAAGTGGCTGGTACCACTGCCTGTCAGCCCAGTCCTCACCCAGTCCCACTGTCCTGGAGAAGCCACTGGTGTGCACTGCCTCTGGAGACTTCTACTTCCACACATTTGGAGGAGCTCACTACGAATTCCCTGGCTCCTGTGTCTATCGCCTGGCGGGTCTCTGTGACACAGCCCATGCCGACCTTGAGCCCTTCAGCCTGGATTTGACCCCACTGCTGCGGCCACGTGGCTGGGCCAAGGCCCTGACCCTCTTAGCCTGTGGCCTGAGGCTGGACCTGAGTCCAGAAGATCTCAACCACATCCGGGTGAGTTTTCAAAGGCTCCATAAGTACCTACTGTCCCTCACCATGCCCATTACCCACAGGTAACCTGTAGACCGCTCTTTTCCTGCTGATACCCCCTTTATCAACTCTCTCACTGGTTCTCAGAGATGTCTACTCCAATTTCCTAGTAGCCCATTCATTGACTTGCCTGTTGATCCCTTCCCACAAACTTTCTATTTGAGACTTCTACCCTTGAGTCTCCTCTTATTCTCCCATTAACCTTCCACTGAGTCCTCAGTTGACTCCCCTTTAACCCATAGACTCAGCCTTGACTTCCCCATTGGCCCTCTTTCTTTCTTTCTTTTTTCTTTTAATGTTTATTTATTTTTGAGAGAGTGCAAGCTGGCGAGGGGCAGAGAGAGAGGGGGAGACACAGAATCCAAAGCAAGCTCTGGGCTCTGAGCTGTCTGCACATAGCCCGAGGTAGGGCTCAAATTCACAAACCATGAGATCATGATCTGAGTCAAAGGTGAAGTCCCACGCTTAACTGACTGAGCCACCCAGGCGCCCAACCCTCCATTTCTCTCCCACTGAAAATCCCACGAACCCATTCATTGCCCCTCCCCCACTGATCCTACTACAGTTATATTGATTTGCCCCATTAACCCTATTTACTGTCCTCTTGACCTCACCCCACACCCCATAGATCTGTACTGAGCTATTTGTTGACCTTCCTAGTGATTCACCGACTGGCCCATTAATGCCATTTACATCTCTGTGGATTTTTCCATTGAGTTCCCAAGCCATTCCAATTCTCCCATTGAGCTTCCTATTGATATGGATTCCTCCACTGAATTCTCAGGGCTTTCTAATATCCCAATTGAGCCTGTCTTTGACTGAGTCTCACTCTTTAAGCCTTCCTGAGACTGCAGCATTAATTCATTGACTCACCTTCTGACTCCACCCCCTCATTAACTCTAATCGTCTAATCTCTACCACTGACACACTCACCCACCAAAGGTGGGATCCTTTAACTCACCCTTCATTTAGCCTCTACTGATGTTCCATTGAATGTCCTTGCGATTCCTAATGACTACCCTGGTTAACCGATGTTCCCCTTGATCCTTCTCTGATCCTTCATTGGCATTTCCAAGAACTTCTGCGACAGCCACTACATCCTTCCCCTGCTGATGCCTGCATGCCCTCCTTTGTAGGTGGACGGAATTCTGGAATCGCTGCCCTTCTTTCACGGCCACTGCCTCCGTGCCTACTACCAAGGCCGCCAGCTCTGTGTAGACACGGACTTCGGCCTCTCACTCACCTACGATTGGGACAGCCTGGCACGTGTAACGCTGCCGAGGCCCTACGGACCCTACCTGTGTGGACTCTGTGCCCAAAGAGGCCCGAGCAGCCCCACGGTGCCGTTGCCCGACATCTGGAAGGTGGCAGAAGTGCCAGGCTGTGGCCCAGTCTGCGGGCCCCTCTGCCATAACCAGTGTCCAGTGTCCACGCGCACTCGATTCGCTGGAGACGCGTACTGCGGGCTGCTGGCGGGGGCCGAGGGTCCCTTGGGGCCATGCTACGCTGCGCTGGACCCGCTCCCATTCCTGGACAACTGCCTGGACGACGTGTGCCGCCACCACGGAGCCCGTCCCATCGTCTGCCGAGCCCTGGCCGCCTTCACTGTCGCCTGTCAGGCTCTGGATGTGCACCTGCGGCCGTGGAGGACGCCTGACTTCTGTCGTGAGTGTGCGGGGCTTGGCATACATACTGGGTGAAGCTCCTAAGAGCTGGGATTTGGGACACCGAGGAACGGACGCGGGAGGACCAATGAAGAAGTTCAGGCCTGGGTGGGTGGAGCCAGGTGAAGAAGGGTGGGACTTGAAGAAGAGTTAGACCTGGATGGGGCAGCAGTTTAATTAACGAGATCTTCCTGTCTTTTGTGTCCGTCTCTTTTTCTGTCTGTCTCTCCCGTGCCTCTGTGTCTCTCTGTGTCTCCCTTTCTGCGCCTCACTGTCTCTACCTGGTGTTCCCACTTTCCGTTCCTCGTCCTCTCTCCCCGCCATGTTGCTCTTCCACTCACCCCCACCCTCTATCCTCCCTCCGTCTCTGTCTTCCCGTCCGTTTCTCTCTCCCGGCCTACCCCTTTCTCTGTCCCCCGCTATTTCTTTCCCGCGTCTCTCCATCTCTTTCATTTCGCTCTGGCCCTCGCACCCCCGCGGGTCTCCCCAGCGTTACGGTGCCCGCCGCACTCGCACTATGAGCTGTGCGGCCCGTGCTGCCCAGCCACGTGCGCGGGCAGCGAGAGCCGCTCTGGCCGCGGCGCCTGCGGGAGCCGCTGCTGTGAGGGCTGCGTGTGCGACACGGGCTTCTTGCTAAGCGGCGCCGCCTGCGTGCCTGCGGCCAAGTGCGGCTGCTTTCGCGCCGGCCGCTACCGAGCTCTAGGCGCTGTCTGGTACCCGGGGCCAGGCTGCGTACGCCGCTGCCGCTGCCGCCCGGGCGGCGTGGTGACGTGCGCGCCACGGCCGTGCGGGCGCGGGCGAGTGTGCGGCCTGCGCGGGGGCGTGCGCCGCTGCCTGCCCGACGGCCGAGGCAGCTGCGCCCTCGCCGGGACCGCGCACGTGCTCGCCTTCGACGGCCGCACGCACACGCTGCCCCCGCCCGCGCCCTTCTCTCCTGAGAGCTGCCTGCAAGTGCTCGCCCGTACCCCACGCCGGGGTCCATGTTCCTTCAGCCTGGACGTGGCCCGCGATGGGGCCGGGCTACTCAGTCTGCACCTCAACCTCTCCGGGCACCACCTGCAGCTAGACCGCGCAGTTGTCGGCTTCATCACGGTAGGGGTTCACTGGACCGCGCCCACACCCCACCCTCTTCCTCCTGGAGGTTCCTCTGTTTCCCCCACCATATGTAACGTGGGCGTGGCTGTCCCTTAAGAGATGGTGCAAATATGTGACAAGGTGGAAGCATTGCGTGGGACACAGTAATGGCTCACTAAAGGGTAGCTGTTAGATTTGCATTATCACCTACTACCCAGGATTGAATAAAATTAGTCATTCAGGATTATTTCAGTAAATTGTATGGAGAGTCTCTCGGTGGTCCAGGAAAGGCCGGAGGATTTGATGATGACTAAGTCCTGGGAGAGCTCACATTCCTCCAGGGAAACAGATGATAAGTATATAAATAAGTAAAATAGGTGGTACATCCGATGATGAGTTTAGAACTGTAACGAAAAATAGGGGCACCTGGGTGGGTCAGTGGGTTAAGCGTCCAACTCTGGTTTCAGCTCAGGTCATGATCTCATAGTTGGTTGGTATGAGCCCCGCATTAGGCTCCACTACTGGCAGTGCCAGAGCCTGCTTGGGATTCTTACTCTCTCCCTCCTTCTCTGCCCCCGCCCTCCCCCCCCCCCCCCGCCCCACCTCATGCTGTCTCTGACTCTCTCTCTCAAAAAAAAAAAAAAAAA